CACAAGGGGGATAATTATGTGACGATCACTTCTCACAGTCATAGTGCGTCTCCTCCTAGCCATACATATATATGCGACCGAAAGGCAGCCCAACCAAACCCCAAGTCTTTGAACATACCTGCAATCACATCAAAAGTCAGACAAGAGTCCACACACTACGCGGAGTCAACTCCAACCAGCTCCTATACTCATACCCCTCGCTTAAGCCATGCAAACCCCAACCTCCAGCCAACCAACCTCAATTAAATACTCAGTACCTTTGTTAAATGGCCATTCAATACTAGTCCGGGTGAAACCCTTAACAAACAAAAAGATCACCAGGGCTAAAGTCTTTTTAGGTTGAGTATGGGGGGCGAGTAGGAATTGAGTCGTCAGCCGACGAATCGGCAAACGACCCTTTATCAGAGATAACAAATGATAATCCTCGTAGGATCAAGCTGAACTAGCCCAAGTCCTGAATCGAATGTCAAAGAAAGGCCTGTACCATAAGACAGGTCAATGCCCAAGCTAAATCATCAGCATACGGGGGATGATCCTCCATAGCACATCCTTACCCAAGTTACCTACCAACTAAATCAAAATCTACCCCTAAGTCAGTGCCCAAGCAAAGGTAGACTAACGGCGGGATCTCCCCTATTCAGGGTGGATCGCCAGAGTCGTCATCTGTCAGAATATAATCTAACTGCTCTAAATCAAAAAACATTTGGGTAGCGCTTCCCGTAGGAAAAGTGTCTTTTCAGAATTTATATCAGCCCGAATATGAAAGCAGAAATAATCCTTGACTTTCCAAAGTCCAATTTTGTCTAACTCCTTGAATTAGCAAAAATTTGGGCAGCACCCCCTTTAGAAAAGGAGACTTTCCAGATTTTTACTAAGCCATACATGAACTTTAGACGGGCTGAACCTTGAAAAGTCAAAAATTGACCAACTCCCCGGATTTTGTAGAAATTTCGGCAGTGCTTCCCGTAGAGAAAGTGGCTTACCAAAATTTATACAAAGCCAAGCCACGTTGCCACTTGTACGCACCCTCGTACGAGTACGGAATCGTACTCTTGTACTCGTACGCTACTCGTACGCTAGGGGCCCCATATAATTTTTTTTTTTTTTTTTTTAATAATCCGGTATTGTTTTTATTTTTTTTCTCAAATTCTAATAAGAATCTGAAGATGATGCTCAGCCAAATATTGCTTGTTTTGTGTTGTTGCATGACATAGTTTTTTTCGGATTT